TCAACAACAACAACATCGAGGCCTCTCATCATTTTATCACACATTGTATATTACATCTACCCATGTTTTACCCCAACATTTTTGTAGACATAAAATACATATACAGTTTAAATCATTTAAAACATGTATAAAAAAATCGTTCATCCAGCATAGATAACAAGTATACAGATAATATGCACACATAGCACGTAATTTATATAAAATACTTCATATCTATGTGTAAGATGAAAGTAACTACGCACTCACTTGTTAAGGTGGTGACTCGGTACTCGGACAGCGCTTCGTTACCTCAAAACAATTTTTCCCTTGACAAAACAAGGGGGCTTTAGCTAGGAGCCGAGCTCTGCAGGGGCAGAACTTCGTCGCTGAATCTTTCAAAGAAAGATTCGTGCAGCGCTTCAACGCTCACCTTACTATACTAAAACTACAGAAAGAGAAGTCGAATCACGAGGGACCGAAATGCTCGGGGGATAAGAAGAGAAAGACTCTTGAATCAAGAGAATAGTGCAAGAAATATGAGAGCTAGAGGCTCTTATTTATACTAATTGAATTTTCAAAAACTACCCTCCATAATTACTTAATGACCTTATAGTTATATAAACAACTAAACACCCCTTTATAATACTATTTTAAACAGATTTAACGATATTTGTTCTAAACTAATGTCGAAAGAACTCAACATTAGTTTTATAATGTCTGCATCGTCGATACCTTTCTAATGATATATACATATGTATATATATGATTTATACTTTATTTTAATACGTAAATATGCTATTATAATTTGTAACTCGTTCATACGAACTCCGTTTTTGACGTTATTTATATCCACGCGTAGGTGGAGACGTACTCTACAACTTTCATTTAGACTCCGTCGGCTAATTTTGACTTTATTTTTAAAGTTATATTTTTAACAGGCCGGGACTGGATTGGTCCGTTAAAATCTCATAACTTCTTCATCCGATGTCCATTTTCGTCTGTCTTTTTATCGTTACGCTACTAATAACGAGATCTTCGATTCTCGTTTAGGTTGTGTCGGCTAAAAACCGCTCGATCTAATACTCGAACTTCGGGCTGTACACCGCTAAGCCGAAACTTCGAAAAATCATAACTTCCTCATACGAAGTCAGATTTGGGCGTTCTTTTTATGGACGCTCTCGATTTAACATATTCTACGACTTTTGTTTATATCGCTAAGACTAAAAGTCGCTCTATCGTAAATTTACTATTTACGCTTCCCGGTGTCGCGCCGGTTCCGTCGTGAAACTTCGACGGGTCATAACTTCTTCGTTATAACTCGGATTTCAGCGTTCTTTATATCCCCGGAATCCTTGTTTCGACCACTAAAACTTTATGTAAAGATATCGGGCTTATCTCACACTTTAATTTTGACGCTTATTTTTTATTCTTTATTTATTACACGTTTATAAATATGTAATAAGCATATAAATTCACATAATTCACATAATACTCAAATATTTCATCTTTATTATCTCAAAAAAGTGTTACAATAGCTGACCTATACTATTACATCGTCTAAAAATGCTTAGCCCCGAAACGCGGGCGTTACACACACCTTGGCACACTCACCAACTCAATGTCCATGGTTGAAATGCAGTAGCTGAAGCAATCTCTGCCCTAAACCGGGCTACAAACTACCCCAAGACATAGTATCTAATCCCAAAAGTGCAATCGATCGCACAACTATTCCTTGCCGCCTGATACAAGAGATTTAAGGCAGTCCTTCCGCTATCTGGCTCACCACCGGAGCCGGGACCAAACCTTGGACCTCCCTCATGTGTGCTCATCCTCATCTAGCAAGCAACTATCCCCACTATCAGAGCATTACCAAGAATCCCCTTCCCATCAGGTTCTTAGATTCTCTAAGTCTCTCACTAATTCGAGTATGGATCCTATGCTTTCAGTAGTACGGGCCCATACTACCTTCCACACCTATCCATACTTTCCTCAGCAATCCTCCGGAATCCTCTAAGTCACCTATCCAACTGATGCACCAATATCCGCTAAACAGCAACACAATATCCATCGAAGCACCTCCTAGGCTCCCCCTAGGCTCCTAACCCCACTGAACTGCCCCACTAACTCACTGGAGCATATCCTAGGCTTTCCTAGGTTCCCAAACTCCCCCTGCCATCAGCTGCTGAGGAATTCTTCATGATGCTGACCATCCACCTCCTGGATATCATCATATCCACTTAGCAGCTGCCTCCCATCACTCAAGAGTTCCACAAAGCACAAAGCAAGCATCATTCGTGCAGTAGCACTCCGATCCAAAGAACTGTCATAGAACATTCCGCCCACATATCGCAACTCGTGCTATCCACATCCATCCATCCTCACTGTCGGCTGCCTTATGCATGCAAATTATACACAGAACAGGATCTAATAGACTGTCGAATAATAGATTCTACCCTAGGACCACAACCAGATAAGGAACAGGAAATAAGGCCGAATCAATTATTCTAAGGCTATAAGATCCTAACCGTATACAATTTTTAAAAGCATACACGTAGCAGTTACGAATACCAATAATCATTCTCATTCTAGCATGGCATCAAATATTCCCAAGGCTACAAGCATCACATATCAGGCCAATCTATTGCTGACTACTCAGCACTAACATGCAAGTCTACTAGCTCATACAACATATACAGGCATCTCCCCTAGCCCTAACTAGCATGCGATTCACAGATTTATAATCAAATCATATCAGATAACAAATGTGGGTATTCTGGGGAAACTTACTTGAGCTCGGTTGATTGCATGCACCACACCCTTTCTTGTCTTAGAAAACCTTTTCCTTGAAAACATTTTCTTTTAAAATTTTTTGAAAACTTTACAGATCCTCAGTTTGAGTTCAGACACACCCGAAGGTATACCCGAATCCCTCAAACCAAGGCTCTGATACCAACTTGTAACATCCCAAAATTCAAGGCCAAAAATTACATTTTTAATATAGCTAAAACATTGATACCATTTATCCCAAACATTTCAAATCATCATTAAGTATAAATAAGTTATTATAAAACCATAAGTATAAAAACATCCATGAAAACATCTCATGTCAAAACCAAGTGTCAATAGTCAAACATGTTATCATAAAATAATATCAGAGTGTAATCCCAAAGATCTCATGTGCGGAAAACATAGTGTGTGCACTGCGATCAATCCGAGCCCTTCCTTTCCAAAACGATGATACCTGAAACCATAAATAAACCTGTAAGCACGAAACTTAGTGAGTTCCCCAGAGCATACCATACACACAATCCACATATCACATATCATGTTAGCTATAGAAACTACCTATATCACATAAGCCATGCATGCAAAAACCTGTAAGGATGTCGTGGGCTCCCCCAGGGTCATACACCATTGTGCCATGGGCTACCAAACATGGTCTTAACCTAGGAATGCCATGGGCTACCCCACATGGTATTACATCCAATTGCCACGGGCTCCCCCCGGGGTCTTCCATGCAATAACATACATAATCACATAACATATCATATATCACAGAAATATCTACACATAGCACAAACATAAACCTGTAAGGATGTCGTGGGCTCCCCCCAGAGTCTTACACCATTGTGCCATGGCTACCCCACATGGTCTTAACCTAGGAATGTCATGGGCTACCCCACATGGTCTTACATCCAATGTCATGGGCTACCCCACATGGTCTTACATCCAATGCCACGGGCCCCCCCGAGGTCTTCCATGCAATACACACAATCACATATCATATCAAACCACAGAAATGACTAACACATATACCATAGTCACATAATGGGCCGGCCTTGGTGCCTTAGACCCATGGGTATGGTGAGAAGACTCACCTCACACTGCTGATGTCCCGCAGACACAATCCCAGCTGCTGGATGACAGATTCCCGAACTGTCAATATCAAAACATCACCCAATTAATAATTGGGTTCCAACACAAAAATCATAAGTCCAAGCTCGGGGTAAAAGACTGCTTTACCCCTATCTTAGCTTGATTCAACTCAAGGCCCAATCCAAAGGCCCAAAAGTTAAACTATGAATCAAAGCCCAACATATGGCCCAATTTTCCAAATTGGGCCCAAACCTTTACATGGTCTTATTCTAAGGCCCAACCATTTAGTCCAGTCCAAACATTTGGCATTTCTAGTGGCCCAACATCTCATAATCATGAAGGCCCAATTATGGCCCATTTATGGCCCAATTTTCCAAATTGGGCCCAAACCCTCACATATGGGCCTTACCCTAAAGGTCGTCTAAATATTCTGGTCCATATGATATTCTTGGATGGCCCATCAATATCCCAATCACCAAAGCCCAATAGAAAGCCCAACTCAAAGCCCAAGTGAAATTAGGGTTTCACACAAAACGACAATTAGGGTTAAGTGTTTCTCACTTAACCCATTAAGGACTTAATCCATTAAGTCCACCACTCTACTAGATAAATCATATGGTGTGATTGGGCTTAATACATAGTCCAATTCCAATGGCCCAAATGTGGGTCCCGATAAGTCCGAAGCCCATAAATCCAATATTAGGGTTTTTTAAACCCTAATTAGGGTTTCCAACCCCATCTTAGCCCAATAGGCCCAATAGCTAGGTCTTTTGATCAATTAGGGTTCATTAGGCCCCTTAGTTACATGTTTGGTCTTTCAGGTCAATTAGGGATTTATTGGGCCCATTAGGGTTTCAGTCCCTTTGTCCAAACATCCCAACTAATCAAACACAACAAGCACACCGCCACCTAACACGGTGGTTGGTGGCGGCAGGAGGCGGCAGCCACCACCCTACGGTGGTGGTTTTAAGATTTCTATTATTATTTTGGGCACCATTTACAATATACAACTCAATAACACACACACATACACACTAATATAAACATACACACATACACATCCACCCTTGTGGTGGCCGGTGGTGGTACACGGTGGTGGTGGCCTCCTAGGTTTTCCAGCCACACAAAACTCACACACACTCACTTCATAATACACTCCATCGGAAAAATAAACCCAACACCCACCTATGGTGGGCGGCGACGGCAGAAGGTAGAAGGACTGGCGGCAGGCGGCGGTGATTTGCAACGACAGCAGCTCCACGACGGCAGTCTGTAACGGCTGAAGCAGCGACTCGAGTAACAGAATCGAGCCATGCAGCGGCGATGGTCGTGACTGAGAAACGGAGACCACCGTGAACGAAGCCACGCCGGCAGCAAGGAATAGAGAAGAGAGGTGGCGTGAGATGGCGGACAGCGGCAGCTATATCTTCACCGTCTCAGCGTAACATGGCAGCAAATCTCGGTGGTTCACTTATCGGTTCTTGTTCCTGGCAATGGTGGCGGCTGGAGGCCACGAAACGGCAACACCCACGACGTCATCTCCTTCTCCAGTCTTCGACTGATGCAGCGCCCGATCCCAGTTTCCATCGGTGTCCATTATTGACGGCGACAGGAGTCGTTGACGGTGTTGGGTGGTCGGAGGTCGCAGCGGCGCCGGAGATGGGTAAGGTGAGAGTGGCGGCTGCATAGAATATTAGGGTTAGGGTTTTAGGGGGAAATGCATGGTGATGGGTTTAATACTCGTATCCCATACAAACTTCATGAGGATTTGACACTTCCAGCCCCTCCCATCCCTAATCTTTTCGAAATGAATCCGAAATTTACCTTTTTAACCCCTGATTCCAAAAATCTTTACAATATAAATCCAGAATTTACATTTTATCCCTTGCTTCCATAATTCCTCTCATATTAAGTCCTAATTGTTACCAAGCAGTCCCTTTCTTCAATATTACTTACAAATTAAGTCCGAATTTTACACTTTAACCCCGCCTTCTAGAATTATAATAGTTAACTCATCGAGACCAGCACCTTGCTATATAATTATTAATTTTAGGGCTACGACTTATTCATTAATTTGTTTTATTTATTTGTTAAATAAACGAGGTGTTACATATATCCTAGGTTTTCTTTTAACAGTTGTGGTCTTTTACTCCATAGAATCTAAAAGAAATGAGAGAAGGTGGAAGGAAGCAGAGCAGTGACCTAGTAGAAAGAGACAAAATCAATCGTATTTTAAAGAAGAATGGGAAGTCTCGTACTGGTTTTGGAGGACCCAATTCGACCTCCGGAGAAGCTCCGTCTTTCCACATCCTATTCAAACCATCTCCAAACATATTGAATAAGATTCTCGATCTGAAATTGAAACATAATAGGAAAAAAAGTGAAAGCAATGACTCTAAAGAAGGTAAACCAAAAAAATACCATATAGAAACCAAAATTCATCATAAAAATAGATAAAGTAACGTTACCTCTGACTTGTTGTTCCTAGGGTGTCGCGGATGGTGTTTCCGATTGAAGGAGATAAATGTTCGAAAATAAGTAAATTTATGTGTTGGCCTGGTGAAAGAAATCAATGGATGTGTAGATGTTGTGGAAGAAATTGAGTTGAGCTAAAAGCGGTGAAGGGGTGTAGTTGTACGCGTGTGTCGACGATCGACAAGCAGAGCGAGTAAATAGATCACACCAACTTCAACAGAGATGGAGAATGTGTCTGATGTAATGGTAGTCGGTAGAGGCGGTGTACATTGTGAAAGAGAGACGATTACAAAACACGTGTCGAAAAGGGAAAAACACACCAACCAAAAATTAAGGTCATGGACTAAACTTTTCAATCCCACAAAATATTGGGCCAATAATGTCATTTTCAAAACATTATTGTAGCTAAGGTACCCTCAGTTTTAATATATATACATATATATATATATATATATATATATATATATATATATATATATAATAATGTTTTTCATCAAATCTTTGTAAGAATATATATCAGTATCTATGTAACGACCCAATTTTCAAAAGAAAAATTTTCATTTTTAAATATCCAAAACATTTTCCATAAACCATAAAATCGCAAATACAATTGTTTTCAAATTTATGTCAATAACAATATTATTTCAAATCATCAGAGTGTCCCATAAAATCGTCTGAGAGAGAATGCATGTTGCGTCATCAAGCCTTGCCCTTGCCCTTAGGCTCAGATGTACCTGAAACAAATCCACAAACTGTAAGCTAACGCTTAGTGAGTTCCCCAGAGCATACCCCACACAATCCACATAAACACAAAATCATATTAGCTATAAAAGCTACATATACCACAACAACCATGCATACAAACATATAAGGATGTCATGGGCTCCCCCATGGTCTTTAGCTGACAAGCCATGGGCTCCCCCACATGGTCTTTCATCCAATTGTCATGGTCTCCCCCATGGTCTTTAACTGACAAGCCATAGGCTCCCCCACATGGTCTTATATCCAAGTGTCATGGGCTCCCCCATGGTCTTCCCTACAAGTATCATATAAACACTAGCATACCACTTAGCATATAGCTAACTATCATACCACATATCTCTACTTCAACTAGTGCACCACATATCAAAAAATGGGTCGACCTTGGTGCCTTAGACCCATTGGTATGGTGAAGAGACTCACCTCTCGTGAATGCTAAACAGACAAGATAAGATCCAATAATTCCCAACGCACTGCTCCAAATCAACTGCCTATAATCATCATGTGATTACTTATCACAATCCCGAAATACCATAAATGCACTCAAAGTCAACCTTGGTCAAAGTCAAGGTCCACAGCCCATGTTGACCTCAACTCGTCGAGCGCATCCAACAACTCGTCGAGTTACCCGAGTAACTCGTCGAGTTCATCCAGCAACTCGTCGAGTTACCTGAGTAACTCGTCGAGTTACCTGATTAACTCGTCAACTCGCCAATTTACCTATGTAACTCGTCGAGTTCCTTAATGTCCAGAAGACCGAAAACTCATGCAGGCCAAAAAATCTAATCCTTCATTGCATACATTCAGAATCTCGAAAACGGGTAAACTCTACCCGACTCGTCGGGTCGACTAAGGTACTCGACGAGTTCCTTCAGTCCTTTTTGTGTTCAGACATTTTTAAGCTACCCCAAAGCTCCAGATTGTAGATCTAGCCTCCTAAGGCATGGTTTCCACATAAAGTTGCAAACTTTACGTCCATGCAAGCTCTAAATGCCAAAACTGTAACGTCTGGTTCCTAGTATGCATTTAACTCATTTATTTATTCATTTTAAGAGAGGAACTCGACGAGTTGGTTGCCCTAACTCGTCGAGTAGAAGGCAGATTATGCGCGGGGTTTGAGCTATCTACTCGACGAGTAGCTCGGCCGGGATGAAACTCTAATCTCGGGGTTTTGTACCCTATTTAAGCTCCTTAACCCCCACCCATTGGCCTCATTTATAGCCTCCTTGTCCCAAACCCTAATCCACGAAACCCTAGAGCTTTCTTTGAGAGTGTGAGCCATTTGAGTGACCTTTGTGTGCTTTTGAAGATTGTGGAAGAAGAAGAAGAAGATAGGGGGCTCAAGAAGGGAAGAGTAGATCTAGAAGCTACACTCCATTTGCTACATTTTTTGGTAATCAAGCTTCTATCTTGGCTATTAGTTCATTAGATCTATTTATGTCCTCTTTATGTGGGTTTTTGGTCCAAGATTTATAGCTTTTGGGAAATGATCGACCCAAGAGGGTATTCTTCCAGATCTAGTACCTTGACGGGTTGTTATGACATAAAGGTGTAAACTTTATGCCATTGGAGCCCCCATGTAAGCTTTGGAGAGTCATATTGGCCTTTTTAGCCCCAAAAGGCCATGCATGTGTGAAAGGTGGGAACTTTATGTGTCCAAGTAGTGTTAGGGTTTAGATGTGAGGTTGTAAGCTTGAGTTAGGTGTATGGAAGGCTTAAGGACCCAGTTCTAGGTCCCAAGGAATTAGGGTTTGATCTAAACCCTTTAAGAAGTGGTATTAAGGGGTAAAGTCAGAAACTTTACCCTTAAAAAGGACATTTTCGGGGTTATGTGAAGTATGAAGCTTGGATCTGAAGTGTAGCCGCTTAATCCATTAAGATAGCCAAAAAGACAGGAGAACTCGACGAGTTAAAGCCGGGATGTCCCGATCGTATGCCAGGTAGAACTCGACAAGTCTGCGAAGGGACTCGATGAGTTGACTCGGCTGACCACGAGTCTGAGTAGAACAGGAACTCACCGAGTTAGGAGGTAACTCGACGAGTTGGGTTGACTGGGAGTTGACCTTGACTTTGACTTTGACCAGGACGTTGACTTTGACCAGGGGTAAAATGGTCATTTTACCCTAAGAAGAGTAATCAGATTTTTGATTAAGTGTTATTGTCAAATTGATAATCGGGGAGTCGTTGGAGCAGTCGTCAGAGATTCCTCACACGAGATTTCACAGCTATCATTTGAGGTGAGTTTCCTCCAGTAGGAACGGGTCTAAGGCACCGATGTCGGGCGGGGCCCGATGTAGGTTTATATGCTTTTCCGGATTGCGATCCGATGTCGGGGAGGTCCCGAGGAATGCTTGTATGCTTGATGTCTTTGTGATTCTTGCATGTGTTTGTGCTTGTATGCTTCCGGACTTCGGTCCGATGCCGGGGTGGTCCCGAGGAACGTTAGTATGTTTCCGGATTACAGTCCGATGCCGGGCGGGGACCGAGGAAATGTTTTAATGTTACTGACATATGCTTAGGGTTATGTGTATTATTTGAGTATGCTCATATGTATTTTGAGATTTTCTCGATGCCGGGCGGGGCCCGATGCCGAATAGGGTTCGATGCCGGGCGGGGCCCGATGCCGGGAAAGCCGATGTCGAGCTTGACTCGATGTAGCAGGGGCGGGGCCCAAGATATGTTAGGTGTTATGTGTATGGTATGTGGTAGTTGGGGAGACTCACTAAGCTTCGTGCTTACAGTTTTCAGTTTTGGTTTAAGGTATTTCCACTAGCAAGGGGAAGAGCTCGGGATGACTGCATGGCACACACCACAGTTTTAGCCTGGGATGTTTTTAGACTCTGATATTTCGATATGGTTTTGATGCAGTAATTGGATATGATGTTTTGGATACATGATTGGTGATTTTATTATGAAATTGATGGTTTATGGTTTTTCGTAAATGATTTTAAAAAGAAATTTTTGGTCTATATTTTTGGGATGTTTCAAAAACCAAGCTAAGGGAGGGGTTTAAATCAAAGAGAAGGGCCAAAGCTTCATACTTTCTGTAACTTTATAACTCTAAGGACTTAGAGGAGTCCAGATCTGAAGTTGCAACTCCAGATCTTACCAAACACCCGAAAAGCTTCACAAATATACTAAAATGGCCTAAAACCTAAGAAAAGGGGATCTAATGCTAGAATGCTCAAGGTAACAGCTTGTTACCTTCAAATGGATGCCCAAACGTTGTAGATGTTGGATCTACAATCTCCTTCCAGTTCCAAGCTTCTCAACCTTCAAACTCCTACAACAAAATGCACCAAAAGCACCCTTTTAGTCTCACAAACACAAGGAAGCAACAAAGAACGACTAGGGTTGCTTCTC